GATGTGGAGACCATTGCCGGTGTTCTGTGGGGATATGGGGGAGCTGCAATAGCGGCATGCAATGAACTTGTGCATTTTTCACTTAGGTCAGAGTATGGCGACATGTACGGGTGAGTTGATTATTCACAAGCAACTAAAGTAAGAACTTTTAATTACACTTTTAAGTAGTGGTTTAAGTGAGGGCGCTTGCTTAGCGGATCTTGGGACTTGTAAATCCTACTCAGTAGGTCGTCGGCTATTCCTATTTCGAGGCGAGACTCTTTATTTTCCACGTTTAGTATTCACTAAGACCCTTAGAAAAACGAAGCATCTGATGATCCATGGCGTAAAACTTTTCTTCGGCGATGTAATACCAATCGATCAATCCAATGCTTCCCGACTAAACATAACAAAAGCTCTCTAATTTCTCCGAAAACCATCAATTATTTTCGAACGCATAACTATCGTTTTCCGCTGCCAGGAAAATGTCGTGATCAGAGACAACTATTAATGTTACTGTTATTACCTTGCAGTAAATGTGTAATATTTGTTATCTCCCGTAAGAAACATGTAGATTTTTTCGTAATTAAGGCCATGAACAACCTCCTTACACGAGACACTCAGGTGTGCCAACTTCGACCCAGACGGGAAGCTTAGAATAACTTGGCACCATCAAGACAACTGTTATAAACTGCAAATATGATGGCACACCATTCGGACACGCAATTGTATTTGTTAATATTGAGTACGTGGGCCAGCGATGTACGCGCGTTCACAATATCACTGATGACAATACAGCACTTTTCTTCGCCGTCTAGACATAACCTGAAGGTTTCCTTGGCGAGGTCTGCCCATGACTCGACTATAACGGTAGTGTTACTTTATTGTATGCTGGAAGGGGGGGACGTCGAAACTATTCACAATAAGAGCATCATGTCAGCTAGGAATTTTCTCCGACATATTGTTACCCGTGCTACCCATGCATCCCTAAATGATGATTTTCAGGTTTTCATCCCGTATTTGCGTTGGGCTGCAAAAATACACCATCGGTTTATTTAATAAGATGCAAAAGAAATATTTCACGACCACACTTTATGCCATATGAAGAAGTTGTTTTCTGTTTAATTTTAATGTAGCATGCGTTTGTAGTTGTTTGGGGGTACCTAGACGTGTGGTTCTCCTCATTTACTGCAGTTGTGATAGTGTAGTAGTTACTTGCTACGGAGATCTTTCGGACTTCATTCAGTTGGATATATCTGACGTATGTATTTACTAAAATAAACACTCAGGTAATCTAGGTCAAATGATTAAAAGAGTGCGTAGGCAGCCCATACATCTTCGCCTATACTTTAGAGATCGGCATACACGACGCTCTGAAAATGCAGTCCGTCAATGTAGCCATTGCCAGAATTCATGCAGAACGATGGATATAAAACAAAGCATTGAGAGATTGCTCTTTCGGTCTTTGTCTCTTCTAATGTAGAATAACCAACAACAACCCTGAGTATTCTGGAGGAATCAGACTTGAATCAGACACCGTTTAGTAAAATTGTTGGAAATTGAGAGTACAGACGGAACCTAACAAATATATCTTAGTAGTGTAAATATACCACAATGGTGGCAAGCTAATGTATTCAATAGTAGCATGTGGCCGCTAACTTACAGTGGGTTTTACGCTTTTTCTTATGCAGACAGTGTCTGGTCCAAAATTCCAGCAGTTCCGAACTATTAACTTAATGAAAATTCCATAGAATGTCAGAGTATTTGCCAAAAATGCAATAAACCTCCTTTCTGCGCATTTTTGCCTAAGTTCATACTTCGAGGTTAAAACCATCCCTACGCTGAGGATAGATGAGAGGAGGTCTTAAAGGCCTTTTCCGAATAAACTCTGTTTAAATTGAAACACTAGCATCTGTTCGAGATATGCTCCGATTGCTTTCAAGAAAACAATGTCGTAAAAGTGCTTGGCACGTGAGCCTGTAGATACCAGCCTATCTAATATGTTTTACTGGGGTGAAGTACGAGTGATGACTCAAAAATTAGTTGTTTTTTTCTGACATTCTTTTCGAGCGTGCTGTAGTTCCTGTTAAGTTGGACAAGTTTATATCATCACAAACACTAAGCAGGCAAACTTGAGTCAGGCCTTTTGTTGATGCGAAGCGTACTGTGTACAATTACTATATAGTGTTTAGCATTTTTTACAAACTCATTTCTGGCGCATCGTAACGATAGGACGTCCTATCGTGTGTACATCTGTCCTATCTGTGTACACAGACCGAGGAATATATTGAAAATGCGTAGGTTTATTAATTGTACGAATTATCTGACGGGGCGTTTCTTATAGTGAAGTTGTTTTTAGGTCTTGTATCGGCAACATAACGCTAATCACAATGCCCTCGCCGAGTGACGCTAGATTTGTGCCGTTGATGGGCCTAGTACGCAACGGGTTTTTTTTATCAAACATGCAGCGTAACGATTTACCGGTATATGCGAAATAATTTTTCATTCACTAGGCGCGCATACCAGACTCGAAACCTATTAGGCTTAGACTCCTTTAAAGCGTAGTATGTTACCTCTTAATGCATTTACCATATACGAACGGCGTTTCCTCACAACCTGCATCATGGAAGCTCGCCAACAACTATTATTTTATTAAACCCCAGGCCCACGCATTTAATTTTTAGCGACTGTCTTTGTAATAGTTCTTTCAGCAGTTTTATTGTGAAAAGATCAAACAGAACAGCCAGTGTTCTCTTCTCAGGAAGGGTCGGTGACGGGAATGATGGATCTGAGGTTGATGCTAAACAGAAGCAGTATAATAGAGTA